AGTTTTGTGTTTTTGTTTAGTATATTTCCTCAGCTTTCTTGACCTTTAGTGTAGCACAGTATGTAGCTTTATCTCTGTTCGTTTATTTTATAGTTTTTACTAGTAAATATTGTATTATTCGCTTACCACATATCCTTGTTGATTACTTGTGATTGTAAGAACTTTGGAAATACACAGAAATGCACAACCCGATTTCTCGCGATCGATGAGGTCGGTATTTTGAAAGCTGAGTTTGCGTGAGCAAAACAACTCCTGTACCGCCGAGGAATCGTGCTCTGCAATACCTGAATGAAATAACAAAGAATTATAGACAAGGCATCTCGTAAGCTTTTCACGAGTACAGTGAAGTTAATATATCCTATGAAAGGAAGAAAACTAATAGCAAAACAGCACGACAGAGTGATTGAGAAATGCAAAAATAACTTACCTTGAAAACTGCAACCAAATCCCGTCAAGCAGCTGAGCAAAGAAGAAAAATGTCAACGCAATATAGCAAGAGCTGGCAACAATTACGTCCTACAAATGTAGCATTGGCCATCCTCTCTCGAGAACAATCATTTGAAATTACTAGTTTAATCAACCTCCCCTTCTCTTAAAATAAGGACAACAACAACTTTGTGTGGCTGAAAATGGGGAAGTGGGTGACAGAGTGCTCAGTTAATATTTTAGGCCCATGAACCCCTGGAGTGTCAAGAAAACAAAACCTACAGCCCAAGGAGATGTAGACAGTGGATGGAGAAAAGGGAGTAGGCCTTCACTCAGGGCCACTGTAAACATTCCTGGGTAGAGAGGAGGGAGTGGGCCTCCACTAACCTAACTCCAGGGGGTAAAATTGGAGGGAGTTGGCCTCCGAAAATCGAGTCTATGGGGACAAGAGTGTGACGAGAGGAGCACTTCATCCCCATTCCCGTGTTTATTTGACCAAACTAAACAGAACTTGCAAAGAACGGTAACGATATAAAAAGTATAAATTGTGAATTATGATCTCAAGTCGTGATCTATTACTGGACTGGCAGAGTGTTCTAATCTACATAAACAAACCTAAGCAAGGTACTTAGTTTCTATAGTTCGTTCAGAAAAGTAGCATACTTAAGAGGCTGTCTCTGTAAGAACCGACCACTGATTTTACTTCGAAAATTCGATTTTTCTCATAAGCTGGGATTTCGAAGCCCTTACCTAGTCCATCACTAAAATGATTTTTATGTCATTAAAAATTCCAATTGAAGTTTTCTAGGATTGATTGAAGTTCGGTCCGCTCGACACAAGTTTCATGC